TTAATTCAAGTAATAAAAACTTGACCAGCGGACGAAGACAAAGAGGGGGTACATACAGCCCGCCGCCTGCAAAGAATCCGAGCCCGGGCGAAATCGTCATTTTTCACAAAACTCAAAATCAAAACCAGCCATAGAATCGTTTTGAAAATGGTACCATTGTGTTTACCACAGCAATTTACATTTCTTCCTGTAAAGTCTTTCTTTGCTAATTTTAAATATTAACGCCTATACAGCCATATTTACTGAGATACAGCCACCTCAAATATCAAACCTATCATCGTGTTTTCTCAACAAATTACTAAGGAAAATCAGTTGTAAAAAATGTAATAATAATTAAAATGAGCTAAACAATAAATGGATAATCAAAATAACATTATATCTATATTCCTCATATACTAAGAGACTACTATGCATGGTGCGTATATGGGCATATGTATGCTACTTATATAGGCATATGTATGGTACTTATATTGGCATATGAATGGTACTTATAAGGGCATATGTATGGTAGTTAAAAGGATATATGTATGATAGATATAAAAACATATATATTGTTCTTTATAAGGGCATAAGTATGGTACGTATTTGGGCATATGTATGTTGCTTATAAGAACTTTTGTATGGTACCTCAATGGGCATATATATTGTTCTTATATGGGCATATGTATGACACTGATATGGGCATGAGTATGGTACATATATGGATATGTATTTGGTACTTATGTACATACGTACCTCTATGGTACTTTAGTGCCTTTTACCTTACACAGACAGTCATCCTTATTTTATAGATATAGAAGATAGGCAATGATTAATTCAAGTAATAAAAACTTGACCAGCGGACGAAGACAAAGAGGGGGTACATACAGCCCGCCGCCTGCAAAGAATCCGAGCCCGGGCGAAATCGTCATTTTTCACAAAACTCAAAATCAAAACCAGCCATAGAATCGTTTTGAAAATGGTACCATTGTGTTTACCACAGCAATTTACATTTCTTTCTATAAAGTCTTTCTTTGCTAATTTTAAATATTAACGCCTATACAGCCATATTTACTGAGATACAGCCACCTCAAATATCAAACCTATCATCGTGTTTTCTCAACAAATTACTAAGGAAAATAAGTTGTAATAATTGTAATAATAATTAAAATGAGCTAAACAATAAATGGATAATCAAAATAACATTATATCTATATTCCTCATATACTAAGAGACTACTATGCATGGTGCGTATATGGGCATATGTATGCTACTTATATAGGCATATGTATGGTACTTATATTGGCATATGAATGGTACTTATATGGGCAGGTATGGTACTTATAAGGGCATATGTATGGTAGTTAAAAGGATATATGTATGATAGATATAAAAACATATATATTGTTCTTTATAAGGGCATAAGTATGGTACGTATTTGGGCATATGTATGTTGCTTATAAGAACTTTTGTATGGTACCTCAATGGGCATATATATTGTTCTTATATGGGCATATGTATGACACTGATATGGGCATGAGTATGGTACATATATGGATATGTATTTGGTACTTATGTACATACGTACCTCTATGGTACTTACGTACCTTTTACCTTACACAGACAGTCATCCTTATTTTATAGATATAGAAGATAGGCAATGATTAATTCAAGTAATAAAAACTTGACCAGCGGACGAAGACAAAGAGGGGGTACATACAGCCCGCCGCCTGCAAAGAATCCGAGCCCGGGCGAAATCGTCATTTTTCACAAAACTCAAAATCAAAACCAGCCATAGAATCGTTTTGAAAATGGTACCATTGTGTTTACCACAGCAATTTACATTTCTTTCTATAAAGTCTTTCTTTGCTAATTTTAAATATTAACGCCTATACAGCCATATTTACTGAGATACAGCCACCTCAAATATCAAACCTATCATCGTGTTTTCTCAACAAATTACTAAGGAAAATCAGTTGTAAAAAATGTAATAATAATTAAAATGAGCTAAACAATAAATGGATAATCAAAATAACATTATATCTATATTCCTCATATACTAAGAGACTACTATGCATGGTGCGTATATGGGCATATGTATGCTACTTATATAGGCATATGTATGGTACTTATATTGGCATATGAATGGTACTTATAAGGGCATATGTATGGTAGTTAAAAGGATATATGTATGATAGATATAAAAACATATATATTGTTCTTTATAATGGCATAAGTATGGTACGAATTTGGGCATATGTATGTTGCTTATAAGAACTTTTGTATGGTACCTCAATGGGCATATATATTGTTCTTATATGGGCATATGTATGACACTGATATGGGCATGAGTATGGTACATATATGGATATGTATTTGGTACTTATGTACATACGTACCTCTATGGTACTTTAGTGCCTTTTACCTTACACAGACAGTCATCCTTATTTTATAGATATAGAAGATAGGCAATGATTAATTCAAGTAATAAAAACTTGACCAGCGGACGAAGACAAAGAGGGGGTACATACAGCCCGCCGCCTGCAAAGAATCCGAGCCCGGGCGAAATCGTCATTTTTCACAAAACTCAAAATCAAAACCAGCCATAGAATCGTTTTGAAAATGGTACCATTGTGTTTACCACAGCAATTTACATTTCTTTCTATAAAGTCTTTCTTTGCTAATTTTAAATATTAACGCCTATACAGCCATATTTACTGAGATACAGCCACCTCAAATATCAAACCTATCATCGTGTTTTCTCAACAAATTACTAAGGAAAATCAGTTGTAAAAAATGTAATAATAATTAAAATGAGCTAAACAATAAATGGATAATCAAAATAACATTATATCTATATTCCTCATATACTAAGAGACTACTATGCATGGTGCGTATATGGGCATATGTATGCTACTTATATAGGCATATGTATGGTACTTATATTGGCATATGAATGGTACTTATAAGGGCATATGTATGGTAGTTAAAAGGATATATGTATGATAGATATAAAAACATATATATTGTTCTTTATAATGGCATAAGTATGGTACGAATTTGGGCATATGTATGTTGCTTATAAGAACTTTTGTATGGTACCTCAATGGGCATATATATTGTTCTTATATGGGCATATGTATGACACTGATATGGGCATGAGTATGGTACATATATGGATATGTATTTGGTACTTATGTACATACGTACCTCTATGGTACTTTAGTGCCTTTTACCTTACACAGACAGTCATCCTTATTTTATAGATATAGAAGATAGGCAATGATTAATTCAAGTAATAAAAACTTGACCAGCGGACGAAGACAAAGAGGGGGTACATACAGCCCGCCGCCTGCAAAGAATCCGAGCCCGGGCGAAATCGTCATTTTTCACAAAACTCAAAATCAAAACCAGCCATAGAATCGTTTTGAAAATGGTACCATTGTGTTTAAGAACATAAGAACATAAGAACAAAGGTAACTGCAGAAGGCCTATTGGCCCATACGAGGCAGCTCCTATTCTATAACCACCCAATCCCACTCATATACTTGTCCAACCCGTGCTTGAAACAATCGAGGGACCCCACCTCCACAATGTTACGCGGCAATTGGTTCCACAAATCAACAACCCTGTTACTGAACCAGTATTTACATAAGAACTAAACCAGTATTTACATAAGAACTACAAGTTTACCACAGCAATTTACATTTCTTTCTATAAAGTCTTTCTTTGCTAATTTTAAATATTAACGCCTATACAGCCATATTTACTGAGATACAGCCACCTCAAATATCAAACCTATCATCGTGTTTTCTCAACAAATTACTAAGGAAAATCAGTTGTAAAAAATGTAATAATAATTAAAATGAGCTAAACAATAAATGGATAATCAAAATAACATTATATCTGTATTCCTCATATACTAAGAGACTACTATGCATGGTGCGTATATGGGCATATGTATGCTACTTATATAGGCATATGTATGGTACTTATATTGGCATATGAATGGTACTTATAAGGGCATATGTATGGTAGTTAAAAGGATATATGTATGATAGATATAAAAACATATATATTGTTCTTTATAAGGGCATAAGTATGGTACGTATTTGAGCATATGTATGTTGCTTATAAGAACTTTTGTATGGTACCTCAATGGGCATATATATTGTTCTTATATGGGCATATGTATGACACTGATATGGGCATGAGTATGGTACATATATGGATATGTATTTGGTACTTATGTACATACGTACCTCTATGGTACTTTAGTGCCTTTTACCTTACACAGACAGTCATCCTTATTTTATAGATATAGAAGATAGGCAATGATTAATTCAAGTAATAAAAACTTGACCAGCGGACGAAGACAAAGAGGGGGTACATACAGCCCGCCGCCTGCAAAGAATCCGAGCCCAGGCGAAATCGTCATTTTTCACATAACTCAAAATCAAAACCAGCCATAGAATCGTTTTGAAAATGGTACCATTGTGTTTACCACAGCAATTTACATTTCTTTCTGTAAAGTCTTTCTTTGCTAATTTTAAATATTAACGCCTATACAGCCATATTTACTGAGATACAGCCACCTCAAATATCAAACCTATCATCGTGTTTTCTCAACAAATTACTAAGGAAAATAAGTTGTAATAAATGTAATAATAATTAAAATGAGCTAAACAATAAATGGATAATCAAAATAACATTATATCTATATTCCTCATATACTAAGAGACTACTATGCATGGTGCGTATATGGGCATATGTATGCTACTTATATAGGCATATGTATGGTACTTATATTGGCATATGAATGGTACTTATATGGGCAGGTATGGTACTTATAAGGGCATATGTATGGTAGTTAAAAGGATATATGTATGATAGATATAAAAACATATATATTGTTCTTTATAAGGGCATAAGTATGGTACGTATTTGGGCATATGTATGTTGCTTATAAGAACTTTTGTATGGTACCTCAATGGGCATATATATTGTTCTTATATGGGCAGATGTATGACACTGATATGGGCATGAGTATGGTACATATATGGATATGTATTTGGTACTTATGTACATACGTACCTCTATGGTACTTACGTACCTTTTACCTTACACAGACAGTCATCCTTATTTTATAGATATAGAAGATAGGCAATGATTAATTCAAGTAATAAAAACTTGACCAGCGGACGAAGACAAAGAGGGGGTACATACAGCCCGCCGCCTGCAAAGAATCCGAGCCCGGGCAAAATCGTCATTTTTCACAAAACTCAAAATCAAAACCAGCCATAGAATCGTTTTGAAAATGGTACCATTGTGTTTACCACAGCAATTTACATTTCTTTCTGTAAAGTCTTTCTTTGCTAATTTTAAATATTAACGCCTATACAGCCATATTTACTGAGATACAGCCACCTCAAATATCAAACCTATCATCGTGTTTTCTCAACAAATTACTAAGCAAAATCAGTTGTAAAAAATGTAATAATAATTAAAATGAGCTAAACAATAAATGGATAATGAAAATAACATTATATCTATATTCCTCATATACTAAGAGACTACTATGCATGGTGCGTATATGGGCATATGTATGCTACTTATATAGGCATATGTATGGTACTTATATTGGCATATGAATGGTACTTATATGGGCAAGTATGGTACTTATAAGGGCATATGTATGGTAGTTAAAAGGATATATGTATGATAGATATAAAATCATATATATTGTTCTTTATAAGGGCATAAGTATGGTACGTATTTGGGCATATGTATGTTGCTTATAAGAACTTTTGTATGGTACCTCAATGGGCATATATATTGTTCTTATATGGGCATATGTATGACACTGATATGGGCATGAGTATGGTACATATATGGATATGTATTTGGTACTTATGTACATACGTACCTCTATGGTACTTACGTACCTTTTACCTTACACAGACAGTCATCCTTATTTTATAGATATAGAAGATAGGCAATGATTAATTCAAGTAATAAAAACTTGACCAGCGGACGAAGACAAAGAGGGGGTACATACAGCCCGCCGCCTGCAAAGAATCCGAGCCCGGGCAAAATCGTCATTTTTCACAAAACTCAAAATCAAAACCAGCCATAGAATCGTTTTGAAAATGGTACCATTGTGTTTACCACAGCAATTTACATTTCTTTATATAAAGTCTTTCTTTGCTAATTTTAAATATTAACGCCTATACAGCCATATTTACTGAGATACAGCCACCTCAAATATCAAACCTATCATCGTGTTTTCTCAACAAATTACTAAGGAAAATAAGTTGTAATAAATGTAATAATAATTAAAATGAGCTAAACAATAAATGGATAATCAAAATAACATTATATCTATATTCCTCATATACTAAGAGACTACTATGCATGGTGCGTATATGGGCATATGTATGCTACTTATATAGGCATATGTATGGTACTTATATTGGCATATGAATGGTACTTATATGGGCAGGTATGGTACTTATAAGGGCATATGTATGGTAGTTAAAAGGATATATGTATGATAGATATAAAAACATATATATTGTTCTTTATAAGGGCATAAGTATGGTACGTATTTGGGCATATGTATGTTGCTTATAAGAACTTTTGTATGGTACCTCAATGGGCATATATATTGTTCTTATATGGGCATATGTATGACACTTATATGGGCATGAGTATGGTACATATATGGATATGAGTATGGTACATATATGGATATGTGTTTGGTACTTATGTACATACGTACCTCTATGGTACTTACGTACCTTTTACCTTACACAGACAGTCATCCTTATTTTATAGATATAGAAGATAGGCAATGATTAATTCAAGTAATAAAAACTTGACCAGCGGACGAAGACAAAGAGGGGGTACATACAGCCCGCCGCCTGCAAAGAATCCGAGCCCGGGCGAAATCGTCATTTTTCACAAAACTCAAAATCAAAACCAGCCATAGAATCGTTTTGAAAATGGTACCATTGTGTTTACCACAGCAATTTACATTTTTTTCTGTTAAGTCTTTCTTTGCTAATTTTAAATATTAACGCCTATACAGCCATATTTACTGAGATACAGCCACCTCAAATATCAAACCTATCATCGTGTTTTCTCAACAAATTACTAAGGAAAATCAGTTGTAAAAAATGTAATAATGATCAAATTGAGCTAAATAATAAATGGATAATCAAAATAACATTATATCTATATTCCTCATGTATTTAGAGACTACTATGCATGGTGCGTATATGGGCATATGAACATTAGAACATAAGAACAAAGGCAACTGCAGAAGGCCTATTGGCCCATACGAGGCAGCTCCTATTTATAACCACCCAATCCTACTCATATACATGTCCAACCCGCGCTTGAAACAATCGAGGGACCCCACCTCCACAATGTTACGCGGCAATTGGTTCCACAAATCAACAACCCTGTTACTGAACCAGTATTTACCCAAGTCTTTCCTAAATATATATACACATACACATTTTGACTAACTAGTATGTATATATGTCAGTTGCTTAATTTAGAACCTGTACTTGAGGTCGATCTCGAACCCATTGTTGATGTGATGACATATTGTATTTTGTAACTAGCTCATCAAGATTGTAACTTGCTTAGCTAAATGAATTGTGGGGTTCAGTCCCTGAGCCCATTATGTGCCTCTGTAACCCTCTCCACTACCCCCCACAAGATGGGTATGGGGTGCATAATAAATGAACTAAACTAAAACTATATACTTTAGTTATGACAAAAATATATAGTATATACAACTATGGAAACTGTGGATATACTCAAAGAATCAACAAGAAGTAAACATCTTTTGATAATATTTTAGGATATATTCACTGAAACAAAATATAAAAAGTTAATCCATATTATTTTATACAAGAAATTGCAAATAAACTTCATTAAACGATAATTTTTTTTTACTTTTTAATATCATTGCACAAAATTTTTTATTTTAGAATTTTGTTAAAGAATTTTGTAAAATTTATATAAAATTTTCAGGAATTTTCATATATTAAATTATTATTTAACACCTTAGTGAGGTGTGTATATATTTGTAATTTTTTTATTAACAAGCTTAGGTATTTTTTTTATGCCAATTAGGCACTTTATTAAACGATTGCAATTGATGTAGGTTTATTAAAACTTCAGGCTATTTATGATGACTTTATTAATGACTTACATTTTGTTGTGTAAACACGAGTCATTAATATTATTAGTTACGTGGGCAGCAACAAGCTAAGTGATCAGAGAGATATACTTGTACACGTTCTCGCAAGCCATTAATTGGCCACGTTTGTTAGTGCTAAAACTGACATAATGGTTGACAAATACTGAGCATTTGCAACTGTTTATAAGTTAACAGAAACACAGCCAGACTTTAACACAGGACTTGAAACACAGCCAGACTTTAACACAGGACTTGAAACACAGCCAGACTTTAACACAGGACTTGAAACACAGCCAGACTTTAACACAGGACTTGAAACACAGCCAGACTTTAACACAGGACTTGAAACACAGCCAGACTTTAACACAGGACTTGAAACACAGCCAGACTTTAACACAGGACTTGAAACACAGCCAGACTTTAACACAGGACTTGAAACACAGCCAGACTTTAACACAGGACTTGAAACACAGCCAGACTTTAACACAGGACTTGAAACACAGCCAGACTTTAACACAGGACTTGAAACACAGCCAGACTTTAACACAGGACTTGAAACACAGCCAGACTTTAACACAGGACTTGAAACACAGCCAGACTTTAACACAGGACTTGAAACACAGCCAGACTTTAACACAGGACTTGAAACACAGCCAGACTTTAACACAGGACTTGAAACACAGCCAGACTTTAACACAGGACTTGAAACACAGCCAGACTTTAACACAGGACTTGAAACACAGCCAGACTTTAACACAGGACTTGAAACACAGCCAGACTTTAACACAGGACTTGAAACACAGCCAGACTTTAACACAGGACTTGAAACACAGCCAGACTTTAACACAGGACTTGAAACACAGCCAGACTTTAACACAGGACTTGAAACACAGCCAGACTTTAACACAGGACTTGAAACACAGCCAGACTTTAACACAGGACTTGAAACACAGCCAGACTTTAACACAGGACTTGAAACACAGCCAGACTTTAACACAGGACTTGAAACACAGCCAGACTTTAACACAGGACTTGAAACACAGCCAGACTTTAACACAGGACTTGAAACACAGCCAGACTTTAACACAGGACTTGAAACACAGCCAGACTTTAACACAGGACTTGAAACACAGCCAGACTTTAACACAGGACTTGAAACACAGCCAGACTTTAACACAGGACTTGAAACACAGCCAGACTTTAACACAGGACTTGAAACTATTGATGTTGTTGATGTATTAGATTCAGCTTCTCAGAACAAAAAGTTCCAGTAGCACGGGCTATGGTGATCCCGTAAGTGGAGGCTCTTTGGAGCCATTATCTGTATCAATAACTGATACTAGAGATCAGCTGATGGAAGGTGGTCATGATGGTGGATATCAGTCCTGGAGGGCTGGCTGTACCAGTTATGGGGTTAGTGTAGACCTCCAGGTTTTCTGTTTTGTCTTTGACTGAGCCGAGCTGTCGTTGGAGTTTGGTGATGAGCCTCCACGAGGAGGTCTTGTACCGAGTAGGTGTCGTATTTGTGGTGCAGCGGTAGAGCTCCTACTAAGATGTCCTGGTCTGAGGAGTCCGTAACCTCCGTAGTTGGTGTTATCGTCTTACGCCTCGCAGCCTGAGGTAGACTCAGGCGTCGTGGTCTGGTGGTAGAAGCTGTTTCAGGAGTGTTGATGGTGCTGTTAGCATGTGTAGACAGCACGTGTGCTGGCGCGGCTGTTGAGATGGTGATGGTGGCAGTGTTGGGAGCTGGAGAGGGAATTACCTCTGTTTGTGTCGTCCGGGTCATGGGTGGTTCTGGAGTCTGTGTTGATATCGACCTGGTGGTCGTCCTGGTGGTAGTCTCCGGAGTGGTAGTTGAAGCAGTGAAACTTGCGCCAGGGACAATGATGGGATCCAGGCCATTGGCTAGGTATAATAAGTTCGGTTCACTGACAAAACGGTGGTTGTCTGGTCCGGCAAGATTTTCTGCTTCTCTAATAAGACCTTCCTGCATAATACTAATGCCTGCAAGTGATGCAGGGGGAGCTGTGATGCTGTGAAGGAGCCTGTGGGGCCTTGGGTCCCCATTGTGAAGACTGGGTCGCCTGGCTGGAGGTGCCACTCTTTGGTAAGACTGGAAAGTCTTCTGGTCAGTTGGTGGGAGCTGAGGTGGTGGGTTGAGTGCCTGGGGCTCTGATCGCGGAGGTGGAAGGGTTATTTCTCATGGCTTCAACCTGGGCCGTGATGTAGTCCTGTCGGCGGGGGCAGCGGTAGGAAATTGCGGGGTGATTGCCATCACAGAGCAAGCAGTGATGGGCTGTTGCCTTGCATATGGAGTAGTGATGGTCCAGTGCGCACAGGCTGCACCTCTGGACAGGGTGCTGACACTTGTTGGTCGGGTGGGAGAGCTCGTAGCACTTAAAGCACTGCTGGATCTCATGGTATCGTTTCTTTTTTACTTGGTGGGGTGGTATTTTGTAAGCCGAAGCAGTAGAAACCTTGTGTGGCAGCCTGGGTGGCCGCAGCTATGGTGGTGAAAGTAATCTTCATTGATGATTTGTCGGTGTTGCAGAACTCTAGGTTGAATACACCCCAGGCTCGGATTTTCGTCCTCGATATTGTCTATCATCTTTTGTTGCAGTCGGTCAGCGATCCAATGGCTGGTCCTGCTTGCAGAAAGTTCTTCCGGCCACGAACTGACGTGAGGATATAGGTGGTGATCCTTGGGAAGTATGGGATCGTTAGTCAAGAGTTTGTCTAGCTCTTCCTCACATGAAAAGAAGAGCACGATATTATCACCTTCCTGACTAATGTCAATGGAACTTTCATCAAAAGCTGGAGTGGACGGTTCGTTTGGCTAAGGATTTTTTTAATATGAACCACTATTCAAGGAGGGTGCTCACCGGCCCTACATAACAGTTGGGACAAAAGAGGCCGTGGAACACCTGACTACGGATGGGTTTGAGAATATTGTGATGGTTACTCCGGAAGAAGGTATGATGCACAACAAGGTCATAGTTTTTAAGTATCCAACTTATTTGGATCCTGATTATCCTCTCAACAATGATAGTGTTGTTTGGGTAAAGAGGAACAGTGTTCGTGGTGAAAAACAAAGCCAGGTTGTTGCCTTGGTAAAGGGTGAGGCTCCGGAAAGAATTTTTGTGCAAGGACTAGGCTACAGGAAAGTTGTAAAATACATTGAGGAGCCCATATTAGTCCAATAATGTTAGCAGACTTCTAGATGTTACCACTGCATTTTTGGAAAAAAATGCAAATCCTGCTCTGAAACTCTCCCTGGACAGATGTAATAGGACCCATTATCACCACACCAGAAATAAATATCTCTTTGATATACCCAGAGTCAAACTTAATCTGTGTAAACTATGCAAATAAAGGGACCTAATCTATGGAACTCTCTCCCTAATGAATTGAAAAGCTGCCCAACTTTTGCGTCATTCAAAAACAAAACTAAAAAGTACCTAATTTCATCTTCATAGTTTTTACCTTTTGCTTTAAATTACACTGTATCATTTGCTACCCAATCTCCCAATCTTGTACCCAATCCAAACAACTTTACCATTGTGATCATGGCTGTCTTATATGTGCTGTCAATCTGCTGTATGGTGCCTATTAATCTTGTCTAAATTACCAATCAAGTTGTCAATGTAATCAACCAGAGCTTTAGTATACCAGTGAGCTTTAATATACTTACTATTCTCTCCCATCTCATTTTTTTTCGTGCAATGTATCTGTTATCATTTTATTAATTCCGCTAGAATTTGCCTACTTAAAATTATCTGTTAGATTAAGGACCTGCCCGAAACGCTGCGCGTACTAGTGGCTTTACAAGATTGTAAATACTATGCTATGTATTCTCTCTAACCCAATGTACCTTCCTGTATATAAATCAATCAATCAATACAGTTGGTAGTAGACACCTCACCGTCCTGTTTGCAGTAGTTTACCCCAAAGGCATTCCAACGTAACATCGTTTTCTGTTGATGTTCCTACAATGCAATCTTCATTTCTTCATTGATTTTCAAAGCACAAACTAGTGTATATAATGTTGATTGGTGAAGCACTCTTATTCTATGCAATATTTTATAGCGCTTATTATAATTTACTGAGTACAACTAATATTTTATTATTATTTTTAATTTTATTTTTATTTGTTAAATTGTGTTATATTTTTTATATTTATTTTATATTTATTTATATATATATATTTTATTTTTATTTATTGAATTTTATTATTATTTTTCTTTTATTATTTATTTTATTTTTTAAGCTCAATTACTATTAAGTTTTAGTCTGTTTTTTTCCCCACCTCACTTTGCCCGAAACGCTGTGCGTACTAGTGGCTTTAGGTATTGTATGTACTACCTCTATCTTTAAATCAAACAGAATGTTTGTACTTTAACGCTGCAACTATGTATGTACTGTACTGTTCCTAAATAAATTATTATTATTATTATTAACTTTATACATGCAGCTCTTGATAAAAATGAGTTCCCTGTTGGGTTATTTGTGGACCTGCGTAAGGCTTTTGACACTGTCAACCACCAAAACCTTCTTCTTAAATTACATCATTATGGAGTCAGAGGACACTCCCTGCAATACCTCAAATCCTACCTTACTGACAGGCTCCAATATGTTTCTGTGAATAATTCAATTTCTCCCACCCTACCCATCAACATTGGTGTTCCTCAGGGCAGCATACTTGGCCCTCTCCTCTTTCTCATCTACATTAATGACCTTCCAAATGCCTCCCAACACCTCAAACCAATTCTATTTGCTGACGACACAACCTTCATTTACTCCAGTCCTGACCCCCTTGCTCTAAATGTCACAGTAAATACTGAGCTAAATAAAGTCCATCTTTGACTAACTGCCAACAAACTCACCCTTAACATTGACAAAACTTTCTATATTTTGTTTGGCAATAAATCCTCAAATCAAATAAATTTCAGGATTAACAATACCCAAATTTGTAACAAAGTAGATGGCAATTCCAGTTTAAGATAAAAGCTAAGCACTACCTAATTAACTCTCTGTAACCTACCTTACCCCTATAATGTCAACTCATGTCTGCTATTTTTAAACAATGCTGTTTGTCGACCAAACTGCATTTTTTGCTGTTTTTCTGCCATGAACCCCCCCTTTTTTATTTTCTGGACACACTTTATACTTTAATCTCAATTAGTATTAAGTTTTAGTCTTTAGTGTCTTTAGTGTTTTGCTGCCCAAAACGTTTTGCGTAATAGTGGCTTTAGGCATTGTATGTACTAGCTCTATCTATAAACTCATCAATATTTGTATCACACCTTGTATGTACTTTACCTGAAAAAACATTTGAATTTGAATTTCTCAAAAGAAAACTACGAGCCTTCAATAGGATGTAGCTTATCCATAATATTCTAAGAGCATGGACTATTCTGCTATTCTGCTGACTATTCTGCTGTCTACGACGATGGACGGGTACTGTGAGACGTTCATTAGTACATGAGGAAGAGCTAGTGCCTTGAAAAAAATATAACTGAGAATATACCACATAGGTACTTATTCATTAGCAGCATAGAGACTATAAGCATTTAGTTACATATGAGCTGTCTTGTGCGAGAACGGGTTGCACCTTCCCCCCCCCCCCCATCTCATCCTAAATCCTTATCCTGACCCCTTCCAAGTGCTATAAAAGTTGTAATTGCTTGGTACTTTCCCCTGATAATGAAAAAAATCACCTAATATCCCCATCTCACAGGATGGTTAGTCATACGTGGAATCAGGAGAGAAATAATTATTTTGACAATTTAATTACTTTTTTATATGAAGAGCAGTTAAAGAGAACAGATACAGGTCATTGTTGAGCAAATATCCTAGTTAAATATTTGTATCCAAGTAAAAAAAATCATCTTTATATAAAGCCTAAAACTGCAATATCACAGATGTGTTAAAAAAGCAAGTTAAAGAAAATAAACATGGGTACTAAAAATTTGTGCTTAAGACACATAAGAGTAATAGCAATACCATTTGTCTATTATTTACAATACAAAAACAAGTGAAATTCATAATATATTTAGTGCAGGACATGCTACTCGCAGGTGACTATTATTGGCTTGGCTACAACTGTTTCTTTCTCCTTTAAATTCTTTGAACACATTTTGCATATCAGAATATTCAATTCAAATTATTATGAAATTTGAAAATGAGAAAAAGAATGGTGTACACATACACAGTGTATGCCTTAGGTGCACATGAATAAATACATTCTTATTAACCTACACTCTACATTTTATGC